TAAAATCTCAAAATTCATAAATATCTTTATTAAGTATCCTTGTTCTCTAATGGTTTCTTTATATGCCACATTATATTTGATTGGAGATTTCCCCTGTCCATTTCTTCTACTCCCACACCCAAGTATATCCAACATATTGTTTACTGAGTATTTAAAAATATGCTGAAATTTTCCCCTACATAATTTTCTTGAAATGGTATGTATTTATATAAAACATAATCTATGATATGGTAAAGAGTTTTAATTCTGTGTATATCACTCCATAAAAGGCACATGTGTCACTATGTTGTACTTCAGATGTATAATTTTAAATTTTGCATAATTTCTCCCATGTTTTCAAGGTGAATATTGATAATGTCATAATGTTTTTAGATTCTACATGGTCTATGTCTTGGTTCATTAAATTCTGTCCCTATAGGTAATATGTTCTATTACATTATATCTTAAGTATAGGGCTCTAAATTTTGTGAAATTGAAGGGCATTACTTTCATTTTATCTGTAAATTGAGTCCCTCATTAAATGCACAAGATAAATTTAGGATTCACTATAATTATATTAATCATATGAACATCAACTCAATAATTAAAATTTTGTCTTGAGTTATCAGTTAATAGTTAGACCATAGGAGAATTTCAACTTCAAATGTTACTCTTTAAAAAAATTTTTTATCCAAGTAATATTGATTAGAAAACTTTATGACTAAACACTTTATTTCTGAATTTGTGGACTACTGTAATTTTCAAAGTAAAACATAAAAATGGTTTTAATTATTTATAAAAAACCCATTACATGAATTCTAATACATTCCAAAGAATTCTTAGTCTTTATATCTCAACAGTCTGCTAAAATCCGGAAATTAAAGGATTCCAATACAAGAAATTAAAATGGTAATGCCTCACTGAGAAATTAAATCTTTAGGAATTTTTGTGATTTAAAGATGAATGCATGACTTTGAAGTATTCCAATAGCTTTTTGAATTAAATATTTCCAAGGAACTTTCACATATGTATTACATTTATTTATTCAAAAATGTGTCCACTAAGGAAATGATTCAGTGATTGAAAAATTTTGTACTTGCTCTCATGCAAATCTAAGCAAAATAGAAAAAAATGAGTAAATAGGTGATCACAACGTAATTTTGTAAGTGTTGTATCTCTATGAAGGATATATTGTACATATTTTAATTTTTTTAGTAGTAGATGGACAAAATACCGTTATTTTACTTATTTATTTTTATGTGGTGCTGAGGATTGAACCCAGTGCCTCACAAACGCAAGGCAAATGCTCCACCATTGAGCTACAGTCCCAGACTTTATATTGTACATATTTACAGACATATTGAGATATAAATACTACCAGGTTTGCTCACAACATTAACAATTTACATAATTTTACCCATAAGCTGGCATCCTGGGTTGTAATCCTGTGGCCTTTTAATCTTGGGCTGCCAAGAGTAGCTTAAAACTGGAATGAAATTCTGTGGCCATTGAGCCTGGTCCAGTGCTCTGGAAACCATAAGCCCACAACTGCCATGGTCTTTCAGTGAAGAGATTTGTTCAGAACCAAAGCTCCCTACAGTTGGCTGGCGGCTTTGAGAACCATAACATGAGTAAATCTCAAAGGATTTGTGGTTTATCTTGTGCCAGGGTGAATCTAGAACTTCAGTCCATGAGTACAATCTTAAGTCATTAGCCAAGTCAGTAGTCTATCTAGTGCTGTGTATACTGTGGTGGGTCTGGAATTGAAGTTTAAGGCTAATTCCTATGTTTATTTACCTCTCCTTTCCCCAAGTAGATGGTCTCTCTCCACACTGTACTGCCTGGTGTTGGGGAGAGGTGACAAAAATAATATAAAATCATCCATCCTACACTTCTTGATGTGTCAACTTTTATTCTTATACTACAACCAGGTTCTGTTGATGTTTCACTTGGTTTCCTTAGCTGTTGTGAAACTAATTTCATGTGAATATATTTGTACAAATTAAAGAGTAATGATGGATCGAGAGTCCTATTCCACCATTTTGCTATGCCATTCAGAAAATTCCACTCCTCTTTCAAAGAAGTGCAGGACCAGTAGCTGAACTATGTTTCACTGACTTAAAACCTAGTCACTAATCATCCCCAGAACATCTTGTGGATAAGTGGCATATTATTAAAAAGTAAGTGTGCTATTAGATTTTGGATAGATGTGTAACATGAAAGATCAGTCAAAATTAAAAGTTAAATATTAGGAGGTCAGGAGAAAAACTATAGATGTAATAGAAACTAAAAATTAAGAAATAAAGATAGGAAATGAAAATGAGCAAGTGGTTGTGGAAGAAGAGAGGCAGGCCATTCATTGTTCTAAATTTTGAGAAAATATTTTAAAGAAGCATACATAATGCTATGCTTTGTCTGATAGAGATTCATCTTATTTTTCCTATAAAAATATCAATAATGTTACACTGCTGACAAATACACAAATGAGGGGGATTAGATGCTTAACTGACTTCTGAACTTTTTTCCTTAACCCTAACCCTAACCCTAACCCTTTATATGATTATGAGTTTTCTCATAAGTTTTTGTTCTGTTTAGAAAAAATGAGATAAGGAAAATATTTAGTCAATGCCTGATAATCAATAAACTAGTCATTTACTCATCTTTTCCTAGCTTTTCCTAGCTTCTGTCTTCTATCCCACTTTCAAATACTGTCATATTCCAATCCATCAGCGATTGCACTTCTGAAATTTAATATCACATGCTTTGTATGCTTGTGATATTCATGTTATATATGAAAAAACAAGAAATTGCTAATTGGAAAATGTGTGTTACATATATACTTATGTATGATATGTGAGTGTTAATACTTTTCTAGTCATAAAACTTATATCTCTCAGTGTAGAACAATTTTAAATACATAAGTTTAAGTATTTAATACCAGATTTCTAACCATTTATTTTCTTGGTTCACAACTATTCCTGCAGTAAGAGGTTGTCATATGTATAACATAAGCAACAGTTCAATGAAAGTATATGATACAGTGAAAGGAAGTAAATGTAACTTTTAGCAAATATTGCTATGACGTTAGCTATGGGTAGAAGAAGGCTCTCCCTAAATGTACATGATGATAGAGGGATAACTCTCATCAGAAATCCTTAACACTGGCCATTTCAGAAGACACTTAAGTCAGACTAGAAACTCAAGTAGCATTTTCTAACATATCCCTGTGTTATTATGAGGAAGATCTGACGAGGTTGCCAAGATTCAAGGAATGCAAATATGCTAACATTCCTAAAGACAGATCCAGAATTCCTCAAAGAAAAAAGCATGAGTTCAAATAACCATAGGAGAAGCAAATTCTAAATCAAACTTTTATACACCTGATACCATATGTTTTTTATATACTTACCTTTTTAACATCAATACAGGTACGTCTTATCAACATTTAAAAAAATTTTGTTGTCAATCAACTTTATTTTATTTATTTATATGTGGTGCTGAGAATTGAATTGAGTGCCTCACACATGCTAGGAAAGCACTCTACCACTGAGCCACAATCCTAGCCCTGGTCTTTTTCATTAATATTGATAAGACAGTTGAGGCTGGGGTTGTGAGTTCGATTCTTAGCACCACATATAAATAAATAAAATAAAGTTCCATTGACAACTAAAAATAAAATTTAAAAAAGAACAATGTCAATGATTCATTTATATCTTTTAGTGATAACCATCCTCAGCAATCTTTGTTTACTTAATGAATTCCAAACGTTATAAAAGACAGATAAAATAAGCCATCTCCACTTGTATAACATACATACATAGAAATAGTTCTTCTTTTATATTGTTCAAATCAGCATTTGCCAGAAAATGTAAAATCATCAAGAAAGACCAGAAAGTTAGCTTGTTATTATTCAATTATTTAGTTTTTAATATTACGAGCTTTCTAAATCTGCAATTGTATGTGCAAACTGTATTTTGGAAAGTACAAATGAAATGGAATATGTATTATATTAAAGAATAACAAACTTACTTATTATTTATTACTGGAAATACATCAATGGTGTCCCAAGACAAGAAAACAGCAATAGGCCTGTTATTTATTTATTTATTTTTCCTTATGCTTCAATGTTATGCTGTGATAGAAATGGGTTCCTCTATCTGAAAGTGGGCATTCTCTATCTGAAAGAATATCTTCTTCCCAGTAAATTTTATTTTGATCATCTACTTGTTCATTTGATACAGCAATATTGAGAAAATAACTGAACCATGTATTTTATGAATGAAAATTTTTCTAGGCAATGATTTGTTTTGGGAAAAGAAGTTTCCCTTTCTTGTCCTTTTGGTCTTTTTACTAGAAAAGTAAATGAGGCAAAGAGGGTAATTATATTAGCCAAACCTTAAAATAGGAAATTTAGGAGAGAATATCAACATATTTTCCAAATACACATGTAGTTTCTAAAGTAGATGATTATTACAGTGACAGATTGTTAAACCTGTGAAAGTTGCCTAAAATACATGGCTTTAGTTTCCCAAAATATAACATCTGAAATAAGCCTAAATAAAATTTGAAGACTTTTGAAACTCTTCTTTCATTTGTGCTGTATTTTAGACTAGCTTTATAAGATTGAGGAAAGAAAAAAAACATCAATTACAATACTTTCATGAGTTTTATAAATTAAACATTTTTGTAAATAATTATAAATTTAATTTTAAAGAAATACTGGAAGAAATAGCTTTTATTTAAATATTGTAACCATAAGCTTTTACCTATGGCCTGTAACAATATGTTTTCAATGAACAGAGATCAATATTTAACTTCTGCTAATACAAGTTATTTGGATGTGAGATACAATGGAAATGGGAGGGAGTTACTGGTGAACACAAGGTTTTATTTAACATAAAACTCATTTTTATGAATCTTTTTAAAGCATTATGCCCTATCTTCAATCTCATGCTAATATTTTTACATTATAAGGAATCATATATTTTTATGTTCTAAAAAGGAGAAAAAAAGGATTGACAATGAAAAACTACACTGTACCCACAGAATTCATTCTACTAGGGCTAACAGGTGACCCAGAATTCCAGGTTGTGATTTTTCTCTTTTTAATTATTACATATATATTGAATGTCACTGGAAATATGACAATCATCACTCTCACATTGGTGGACTCCCATCTACAGACTCCTATGTATTTCTTCCTCAGGAACTTCTTTGTATTAGAAATCACCTTTACAACTGTCTGTATCCCTAGATTCCTGGGCACAATTATTTCTAAGGAAAAAACAATTTCATATAATAATTGCACAGCTCAGTTGTTTTTCTCCGTCTTCTTGAGTATAACTGAATTTTACCTTCTAATGACCATGTCCTATGTAGCCATCTGCATTCTACCACCATCATGAACAAGAGAATCTGCATATTGCTTGTCTTTTGTGCTTCACTGGCAAGATTCTTAAACATCTTCCCACCAGTCATTCTTTTTCTCCAGTTAGATTACTGTGGCTCCAATGTCATTGATCACTTTGCTTATAACCATTTCCCCCTATTGCAATTATCCTGTTCAGACACATGGCTCCTAGAAGTGATTGAATTTTACTCTGCAGTAGTGATTCTGCTTTTCACTTTGGCATTAATAATTCTATCCTACATTTTCATCACGAGGACACTATTGAAATTCCCGTCTGCCAGTCAGAGAACAAAGGCATTTTCTACATGCTCCTCTCACATGATTGTCATTTCCATCTCTTATGGAAGTTGCATATTTATTTATCTTAATCCCTTTGCAAAAGAAAGAACATCATTGACCAAAGAAATTGCTATTCTCAATGCTTCTGTTGCTCCCATGATGAATTCATTTATAGACACTCTGAGGAATCAGCAAGTAAAGCAAGCCTTTAAGGACACCATCCAAAAAGTGATGATTCTCTCTGGTAAAAGAAAGTATTAGTAATTTTAGAAAAAGTAAATTTCTTACAATTGTTTTCTATTATATATAACCTCCCCAAACTTTCCTTCATTTATGGTTGTTAGGGTTTTTTTTTTTTAATTTCCCCATGTCCTTGTAAAATTTCCCCCCATATGGTTCTTAATAAATTTGATAAAGTTAAATATTATTTCAGAATTTTCTTATATTTCAAAATATTTTTTTCAGATGTATTTGGGCAAAGGATAAAAACTGGATTAATGACTATAATTCTAAATATAAGTAGTTTGCATTGGAACAGATAAAGGGCATTTAGTTTGATGGAAAGTGGTCAAGATAAATGGGGACTTCAGAAATTTTCATTCTTACCTGGTAATAAAAACAAATTTTAATGCTAAAAGTAATTATGACAATAATGAGGAGAAGTAGTAAGAGGAAGAGAGCAGAAGATGAAATAAATTTTTTCAGTATTATTATATGGTAGACAAATTCTTTTTTTTAAATAATTCATACTTCTTTATTCACAAGGAGGAAAAAACAATTGATGTAACAATGCATTTGCAATCATCAATGAGGAAGCAGATGAACCATGTTAAACTATGGAAAATCCTATCATAGACTTTTATAAGAATTAATTCTAAGGAAAATATCCTTATGCCACAGTCTGGCTGGGCACAATTCAGGAGCCACTTGTCAAAAGAAACGAACTTTATTTTTAGAACACACACACCAAACCACAGAGCTCCTCAGGAAAAACCTTTAGAGCCCAACTGCCACCACCGGCTTCCCACAAGAGCCTCTCAACCTCCCCCACTCCTCCTGCTCTTGAGGCTGATTGGCTGGGTTGAGTGGGCAGAGCCAAAAAAAAGCCCCCCAATGAATAGCTCCGTGGTCTAAAAGGGCGGGGAAACAGCCCAATGAGCATCAGGGCAGAGGAGCCAATCAGTTGGCAGCTAGAAGTTTGCTGGGGCCCCTTCGGCTGTGGCTCTCAACATGCTTATACTTTTAACCTAGATTTATAAAGCTAGTTTAAAGATGTCTATGCAAGCTACTCTTGCTGAAGGTGTCTTTTTTTTTTTAATACATATCTTTTTTTTTTTTTTTTTGAGAGAGAGAGAGAGAGAATTTTTTATATTTATTTTTTAGTTTTCGGCGGACACAACATCTTTGTTTGTATGTGGTGCTGAGGATGGAACCTGGGCTGCACGCGTGCCAGGCAAGCGTGCTACTGCTTGAGCCACATTCCCAGCCCTGAAAGTGTCTTTCAATGACAGGTTTTAATTTTGATGAACCCTAATTCTAGATCTTTTATGGTTAATAGTTTTCATGACCTGAGAAACATTTGGCTGCTCCAAAGTCACAAAGATATTCACTGACATTTTCTGGAAAAGAAGTTTAATATTTTTTAGCTATTGCATTTATATCTGTGATTTAACTCAAATTTATTTTTGTAAGGTAGGAGCTCATAATCATTTTCTTCCAAGTGGATATTCAGCTCCACTATCCGGCCTCCATTTGTTGAAGATTCTCCTTCCCTGTTTGATTGCTTTGACACTTTTGTTAAAAATCAAGTGATTAGATTAAAAAACGAATGTTTTTAGGTCCTGACTTCTATTCCACTGATTTATCTCATTACTGCTACTACTTTCTATAATAATCCTGCCATTGTTTTACAAAATTTAAACATCAATAAAAGAAAATACAAAAATTAAACTTAATTGAATGAATGAGATGAAAATGAGCCTAAGAACATCCTTAGGAAATGATTTTTTAAGATTGTTTCACAGTTTTAAAACTCTCCATAATTATTACCAATCAAGAGCAAAATATATTTATCCACAAATAAATTAAAAAGTACATATTTTTAGTACCTTCAACTGAAATTTTAGATGAAAACTATTTTATCAAATTTTCTACTCAATTTTACAAGTCTCCCCACATTAGTTATATCATTTAATAATATCACAATTAGTAAGCTTTAAAAAAATCATAAAAACATCATGTGTTGAAGCTGGATTATAAGTACACAATCTCCCTAATAAAATAAATGATGTTAAATTTATTTTACAATAAATAATAAAATGTTAAAAAGTCACAAATCAATTTTAAAAAGTGTACTTGGTAAAGAAAATAGTATATTATTTCCTTTACAAAAAAAAATCTTTATAAAATTTCCTTTAGCATTTATCTTGGAAAAAAATTATAAGCTTGAAAACAGTTCAGTAGTATTTCATAAAATAAAATCCAAAATAACCCCCTTCCCCCCAAAAAAAAATCCTTTGTGAGCAAATTGTACATTATGTGGCTCTTAGAAACTGATCTATACTAATTTTGTTCATATTGGTGTAGAAGGACTCTCTATAATCACTACCATCATTTCTTAAAACACACAAGCCTCAAATTTTCCATAAAAACACACCCGAACAGCTTGAAAAGTTTGCCAAATTGAGAGTAACACCAAAACTCTTTAAGCATTACAATTTGTTCTTAACTTAAAATTTTGTTTTGAGGCATATTATTCAGATCTTCCTACAATAATTCTATAATATGTTTTAAAAAATAACCCAAACACTAAGAAAATAAAAGGAGACACAGAGACAAGATTCAGAGACAGGAAAAGAAGTGGCAAAATGGCAGAGAGGCCAAACTGTCACAGCTTTATTTATATCAACAGGTTACTTTAGGTCATTGGCAACATTAGTACATACTTTTCATTGTGTCATTAGGCAGGTTATACAGTTAGCAACATTATGCAGTTTATTTCTCAGTTACATATTAAGTTGTAATGTGCAATGTTAGAAGTTTTGTGTAGCTCTCAAGAAAATCCATTGTATAAAGTTACTGTTATGAGGACAGGTTTAGGCTCAGTAAAACATTGTGGTTGTCTAACAAGAGAGTTCCTTTATTCCCAGGAGCTGTGTGCCTGAGATCAAGGGCAAGGCTGATAAGACTCTAGTGGCATTGCCAGGGCATCTAGGCATAGCACATGTATTAATTATCTTGTGCAGGGCTTTCTAAGGGTGGGAAACAGAGCCAGTTGCCCAGCAGGAGTTTGATCACCAGAAGAATACTTCCCTGTATATTCCCATGATCAGATTCCCTACAAAATACTTGAAGAAAGTTTGCTAAAATAAAATTACAATGCATAACCATATTTTTTTCTACTGAAAGCAATGGAAATTACTAGAAACTGCAGTCATGCTCTTTTCAAATGACCTCCATTAAAATCAAATAAGTGGTATAAGAGAAAAAAATTCAGTTTTAAGAGCCTCAAAACATATACAAAAGATGGAAATATTGATTTTTTTTATTAATGATAAGAATTGAAGATCTGACATTTAAAAATCAAAAGTATTTTTGCTAAAAAAAAGATGAGTTAGAACAATTACAGGTAAAAAATATCATTTGTGCATTTTTTACTTTCATTAGTGTAGTTCTATATTCAGAATACCAACAACAGTTCTCAGCTCCAATGGCTAAAAGAATGGAATCTGGGCAAGCATTCTCAATAACACTTATATTTAATACTCACTGTATACATATGATTCAAGTAAGAAAAACGTTTATTAATCATGCATTAAAGACAAGGCAGACTGGTACTATTGCCAAACATGCACTGAGTCAAATAGGATTTTGCTCAAAGTTCCTCATACTTTGTGTTTCCGTGAAAATAAGTGTAAAAGCAGAAATTTGTGCACATCCCAAAGTATTCTCTTCATTTGCTTTCCTGAGCTTTCTCTGCATTCTATTTTTCTTTTGCCTTTTCTATAAGAGGTTTTAACTGCTGGTGTTCTGCTAAAGTCTTGTACAATTCCGTTATGCAAGGCAGATAATTATTCTTTCTTCTGCTTTTTCAATCTTATATCTTTTTAAATTTTGTACTGGGGCTGGGGATGTGGCTCAAGCGGTAGCGCGCTTGCCTGGCATGCGTGCGGCCCGGGTTCGATCCTCAGCACCACATACAAACAAAGATGTTGTGTCCGCTGAAAACTAAAAAAAATAAATATTAAAATTCTCTCTCTCTCTCTCTCTCTCTCAAAAAAAAAAAATTGTACTTCTTCAATAATCATCTGATTTTTGTCAACTTCTGATTGAATAGCATTTAACATATCACTATCCTGATCTGTTCCATAGGTTCCTCTGCAAGTTGTCTTTGTAACTCTGCTACCTTCTGCTGATGCATCATTTTTCTGTCAGACACATGACCATTAAGTTAAATACAATTTCATCTTCACTGTACTTTTGTGTTCTTTTTTCTCTGACTGGCGATATTGCGATGATCCGATCATCTTGATTGTATGCAACTAAATCAATTGGTTCTTCTCTTAGTCCATCCAATTCATACAGTCTTCCATTAACAGGAACATAACTAAAAAATGAAAAGCATCTTCTTCTTTGGCTGATGTCTTTGCATCAAATTCAAACGTTTACTGTCTGAAAAAACTGTGATGTATCTGTCGAATCACATCCGAATTGCTGAAGGCCAAATCCTTCATAATTGCATCAAAACTTTGTGAAAATTCTTTAAACTCTGATAATGTCTCTCCTAAATGGACATCTTGATGGGTACGGTTCAATACACACTTACAATGGCTTGAGTTTCACATGCATTTTTAATTACTGGCTTTGCGAAATATATTGTGTCTAGTCTGAACTCCTTAACACAGTGCATCCTGGTTTTTCTGGCTGCCACTTGAGGAGAAAAATTAAGCCATGAATTGGTTTTAATTTTGCAAAATTCTCAGGTTCTAAACTCCGTATTTCTTCTACTTGGGCCCCTTGGCAACCGAATCCTTGAATGAGCTCGGTAAAGACCCAAGAGAGACTTTCCATGAGGCACCACTCCTGGGGCTTGCAGGGCTCACTGGCCTTCTCCTCTGCCCCCAGAACCAGCTGCAGTGGGTCACAGATCTCAGCAAACCCGCAGCGGAACACTAATTCTTGAAACAGTTGCCATTACCTACGAATCTAGAGTGTAGTTTTTGATACAAATTTTTTCAATAAAACCTAGGGGCTCATTTAAT